GATTGGAAAGGGAAGAACTTATCAGATGGATTAAGGTGGGGTGGGTGACTATTATTTTCCTCTTACAGATATGACAAATTGCAGTCTGCCTGTTCTGCTCCCCACTCTGTCTCTGGTGAATCCTCTCACTCCCACATCTCTGGCCTGCACCCAATTCTATGCAATCATCTGTGCATAAATAAATGAATCTTTAAAAAATTATAAGACTGGGCCTCCCTGGTGGCACAGGGGGTTGGTACATAGCCTGTAAAGCTGTCCACAGCCTCTGCAGCACAAGTTCGATACCCAGCTGGCCAGGGAACAACCCACATGGCACAGCAGACCACTCCAGTCTTGCCCTCTGCTCCCCTCAGCAGTGTACTTCCATAGATCTGCCTGTTCTGCTCCCTGCTCTGTCTCTGGTGAATCCTCTCACCCTCCACACCCTCTGGCCTGTACCCCAGCTCTTGTATGTATAAATAAATAAATCTTTTTTTTTTTTAAGAAAAAGAGTATGTTTAAAAAAATATATGACAAATTGTAGCACGGTTGCCTCTGGGAGATAAGGTTATTGGATTTTTTTTCTGCTTCTTCCCCCAAATTCTACATGATTAGATATGATTTGGAAAATCAGAGGAAAAATATTAAAATACACACACACCCTGAAAGTGCCTGTTCTCGGCTGTTGTCACAACGTTCATGGAAGAGGAAATTTCTCTTTGCCTCCACTGCTGCCTATGTGACTTTCCACTTCTACTCCCCACCTGGCCCCCCCATCATTCCCCTCTTTCAGGACCTTCCACTACAAAACCGGAAGGCAAATGGATACACTTGGAAAATCCAAAGAAGCTCCGAGCACAGCCTCCTGCCGGGGTGAGCATGGGCTTCTGTGGCTGAGACATGGGGAGGGGAGGGGACAGCCATGGGGGAGTTTTCCTGAACTTTCTGCAGGGCAGAAACAGAACATATGTCATCTCCTTTCCTGAATTAGTCCATACCTCTGACCGCTGCTATTATTTCAAAATGTTCAGGAACAGAAGTTTCCACCCATTATCTACTAAGGAGCAGTTCTCTGTCCCCTTTTCTGCTCGCCCAGGAGTCTCTGACAGACCAGAGAAATGGGGTAGACAGAAAGACAAAGGGCGCGGGGCGGCAGTCCCACAAATGCATCTTCTTTCTGTGACTGGCAGAAGGAAGAAGTCCAGGGTAGGCAGTGACATCTCGGCTATTGATTAAACCTTGTTCTGCATTTGGGTTTAATCTCAACATCTAGGGACAGGGAAGCTGGAGTCACCACAATATTTTCTCTGAATCATCTGCTAATCAGAGTGAACTCGGAGGGTATAGTAAGCCAGGGGAGGTGGAGGCTGGGGTCTTAGCACAGGGGAGGTGTGTGGGTTGGAGGGAGGCGGGTGGTGAGATGGCATGGAAATAGCTTGAGGCGGGGTCAGGAGCCCCCTGACCAGCCGGCATGGTGGCTTCCTGTTTAGGGGATGTACTAGGCCGTCCTCTGCCCTAGGAACTCCAAGAGTGAGGCATCTTACTTCCTTGCACCTCCACCCCATGGCCATCCCGGAGGTGGAATCCCAGCCTTACATTTTGGAGTCCATGCCTTTGGGGCTTCCATCCTTACCCCTCAGCGCTCCTCACCCCTCCCCAGGTGCTGGGAGTCCAGGAAGAGCTCAGAGGTGCCAGGGCCCCTCTTGGGACCTAGCCCCGTGTTTCCTCGCACCCTATGCCACATTCACAGCAACCTGAGGTCAAGTTTAATCCAGGTAATGGGACCTCCACTTAGAGGTCATGACCTTGCATGTTAATTCGCCCAGTCCTGGGCCTGCCCTCCTCAGGACTCAGCTCAACGATGTCTCACGGCAGCCTTGCGGAAGACAGCGACGTGACTTTCCTTTCACAGATGCGGGAAGTGGAGGTTCAGATGGCGTCACAGAACAAGTGGGTAGAGCCGGAAATGGTCACAGGGTTGCCCGACCTCAAAGCCCTTTTGCTTTCCCAATGCCCCTTTCCTGTTCTGGACAGGACCGCGCAGTGAAATTCTCCAGAAGATGAGAACGGTGATTCATATCTGCATCTGCAACGGAACGCCAGCTACACCCAGGCATCATAAAGCTGTTTGTGAAAGTCTGGGCTGGGCAAGTCCTGGATGATAGCATTTTCTCCATATCTGTTTATTGGCAGAGGTCAGCAGGACAGGGATTATCATCCCACTCTGGAGACGAGGAAGTTGCAATCAGAGTGTAGAAGAGCTGCCCAAGGTCATTCCTGAGTCAGAGGAAGAACAGGGACTTGAACCAGGACACTCTGGCACCCCGTGAAGAGTAAGAGGAAGAAGGCCACGGCAAGGCTGGGGTTCCAGACTGGGCTGGTAACTTTATGGGCCCACTAAGTCAAGAGATGTGTCAGAGTCCATCCCTAGTCTGATGACCCTAAATTGGGCATGTCCTTCCCAGGAAGCCTGGGCCCCAGGATGGCCTAGATAGTGACAGGTGACTAGTTTATAGCAGCAGGCCAGGAATCCCAGGCTAGGAGATAAGGCAGGGAATGTTAAAACCAAGAGTGGGCAGCCACCCTGGATAACACCGAAGGCCATATCGCAGGTAGAGCAGGATGACTCCCCAACCTCCCACAGGGCAAACATGCAGTCTCCGGGGTGCCCGTGACCTAGATGCATCCATGAGGAAGGGTTCACCCTTAGCCTTGACTCCCTCCCCATGCCTTGGGGCACACTCCACTGGGACCCCCATCATCCCCACGTCCTAGGCTCCAAAACATACTGGGTGGTGGGACGTGTATACTGGCGGGAGAGGATTGCCCTATCCAATCTCTTCTCCCCTGGGGGTGCAGGTGGGGGGACCCAATGCAATAGACTTTGAAGTGGGTCCAAAGATCAATAGTCCTTTCACTTCACCGAGGGGGTTTCCAAGTCTCTCCTTGTCAGTGGTCTGGCCTGGGAATAAGCTTCCTCCGTGACCCATTCCTGCTCCTGAAGGACATATTTTATAGCCCTGTGAACACGTATCCACTCCCCAGAAAAGGCCCTGGGCTGTGGAATCCCTCCCCTGACTGTGTAGTCCCAGGCTGATGATTAAATTCAAAAGCAGTGCAGACAATAGGGCCCTAAGCTTGAAGTGGGTGCCCCCTCCCCTCCTGCCTGCCTCTCTGTGGGATCAAAGTTGCTCCATGAGGCTGTGTGATCCTGGGCCAGAAAGGGGGGCTGGGGGGAGTCAGCCAGAACGCTAAGCAAGGAGGAAGCCCCTTTGCCTGGATGTTCTGGGGAAGGCAGAGGTCCCTAGCTTAGGTTCAAAGGCTAGCGGTGGCTGAGAGGTTGGCAGCGGATGGGGAAGAGAGGAGACCAGAAAACCAGGGCTTCCTGTTGATAGAGGGGGCCCAGGCCCGATGCCTGATAGCCTGCTGTCCTTCCCCACCCCAGTCTGAGCTTTCCAAATGCCCACGGAAGCCCCCACCTCACATGTGCTTGCTGTCTCTGCAGCTCTGAGGGTGTCCGGAGGAACTGCTGCAGGTGGGGCACGGCCAGGAGGGGCAGCAGCCCTCCTGAGAGCAGGCAGCTTCCTCTCCACTGGGGGGGGGGGGAGGTCCCCCACCCCATTTTGCCAAGTGCTATGGCCTTTTTCAAGGGAAGTCTCCTATCTTTGGATTTCCCTTGAGCTCCTGGCAGATGGCAGAACTTGGGGTCCATTCAGACCCTCGGATCTGCGAGGGGAGGGCTCAACAGGACTCCACCCCTCCCTTCCGACCCCACCAGATGCCTTCTCAGTGAGCTCCTTCGCTGTCCGTTTCCCAGCAGTGCCCCCTCAGCACCCCCACGCCTGCCCTCACCTCCTTATAAATCCTCACGCCACAAAATAGGGGTATCTTCACTGGGGGCTGGGGCGAAGGGTCGTGGGTCTGCTTGGAAATTAAGTTTGGAGGAGGCATGAGACCCACAGAGTCTGTGACCACTGGCTGAGAAAGACAAGCGATGCTCTTTGGCCCGATTCAGCCAACGCCAGGCGCGCAGCACCCCGCCAAGGCACTGCCCACCTGCTCACCCCACAGCCCGAGCCCCTTCCAAAACCCCTGAGGGCTGCTGCGGGGCGCACCAAAAGGACCGAAGCCAGAAATGGGGCCCGCCTTGCGTGAGCCAAGTACCTGGCCTTGTAGCCGGCCGGTTCGCGAGAGGAGACCAGGTGTGCGATGGGGGGCGGCGGGGGAGGGAGGGCGCCGCCCGGCCGCGGAGGGAACGCCCACGAGCGAGGCAGCCCCCAGCTCGGGGCAAAAGGTGTCGCGGCAGGAGGCAGGGGGTGGAGGTGGGGGCGCGGCCAGGGTTTCAGAGCGGGGACGGCACCGGGGGAGGGGAGCTCCGCCGAGGGGTGGAGCCGCTACCCGCGGTCCGGGCTCCCTCACGTCGCGGCTCCGCTATAAAGCCCGGGCGGACATGCTCGCTGCACCCCCGGCGGCCTCCGCGGCGCGCGACCCCCGGCTCGGTGGCGACTTGGCTCCCGCGCAGGATGCAGCTGCTGCTGGCGCTCCTGGCCCTGGCCGCCGCCCGGCCCTGGGTCCGCGCAGGTGACGACGCGGCTCGCCCCCGGGCCGCCCTCGGGTGCCCGCTCTGCGCCCCAGCCCGGGGCCCCTACCCGGCGGCGGTCGGTGCTCCGGGGCCGCGCGTCCGTCTGGGGTGGCGCGGGAGCCGGGCGGGCGCGGGCGCGGGCGTGCTCACGAGCAGCCCTGCGGTGCGGGGGAGTGTGTGCACGCGTGTGCGCGGCGGCGGGGTGCGCGCGGGGCCGGCGCCGGGGGCCGCGAGGGTGGACGCCGCTGAGGATGCTCCTCCGGCCGCCCCGACGCGCGCCTCCGCCCCGCGCCGCGTCTGGTCCTGCGCAGCGGCCCGTGGGTCGCCGCCTCTGGTGGCCGCCCCCGGCCCAGAGCAAGGGCAGCAAACTGGGGGGAGCAGGGCCCTGGCTCCCCGCTTCACACCTTGAACTCCTTATCCCCAGAGGGTGCGGCTCCCCTTCCCTTCCCGACCCCCGGAGCCTGGCGGGGGGCACTCGGGGACCCGAGGTCCCGGCAAAGCCGGTCTTTCCAGCCAGGGTGATTTTCGTTTAAAGATTAATGGTGAGCCCGAGCTCTTAATTATTCCTCTAGGTGGGAGGTAGCAGCAGAGGCGTGTTAATATTTGATAAGGCGCTGAAGGCCATTGTAGCGGCTGGGCACCCGGCTCCGGCGGGCATCGTCTCTGCCCTCTCCTCTGCAAGCCTCCCGGGATCACCCCATTTGCTCGTCCCCGGATAGATAGCCCTTCCAAGGTCTTTGGGGCGCGCAGGGCCAAATGTCCTCTCCAGGGTTAAAACACCTTCCTTGGAGTGGTGGCTGAGGGGTGAGGGTCCCTCAGCTGCAGGGAGGGAGTGTGCCTTAGCCCGGACTAAGTGGCTCCTAGGGGGTAAGGAATTGAGGGGCATCTTGCAGCAACTCCAGATCTTTCCTAGGAGGGGAGGAAAGAGAAAAGGGAGACGTTAAAAAAAAAAAAGAAAGAGAAAGAAAAGAAAACAGAAAAATGTACTTGGAGGATTGGGTGATGGAAACATCCTCAACATCTGGATTTAGAGAAACACCTTTGCGATTAATATAGCTGGGTTGTAGCTGCGTAGCCTTGGGGTAAGTCACTTAATCTCAGTTCTCTCACGTACAAAACAGGGATAAGAGTTCTGACTTCAGGTGTTATTTTGAAGATTTAGATAAGATAGTGGGTGTAAGTGCTTCTCCAAGTGCCAGAGTAGCACACTCAGATGCGGCAGAGGTCACGGCCGGGATGACTATCTCTGGCCAGCAGTCTCTGGCCTCGTGCAATCTGCTCCTCTTCAGAGCTGGGCTTTCTGACTGGCAGCTGGAAGAGATCCGCGGTCCTTCCTCCGCCCATTTCACCCCCCAGGGAGCCTGAGGCTGGAGAACCACCAGGCTGTACCCAGAAGTCCCCCAAGCGTCCCTCTGCCTCAGACATAGGAGGAGGGGAGAGGATGGTCAGTCCCTTCAGAGCCCAGGACCCCTGGCCAGGAGTTGCTGAGACTTTGCCCAGGGCATACTTGGGTTTTGCTGAGTTGGTTTTCAGGACCTCTCCCTCCCCCTGGAGTGGGAGGGTGGGGTGAGCAAGGTCCATCAGTGTAAACGTCTTCAGTCGGCTCTGAAGAAGGGGGATGGAGGGGGATGTTACTGGGTGGCTCCTGATGGTTGTTCGAGCTCTCACTCCACCCCTGGTCTGGGCAGGGGGACTAGGTAGAACCCGAGCTTGCAGTGGGGATCTACGGGTCGCCCCTGTCCTTCCAGGCTCTCTTGGATGTGGACTGGTAACTACCTGCAAGGGCAGACGGTTATGTTACCCTGCCACCCTTTGCCAGAAAACCAGCCTCTTACCATCACATTGATCTGACCCCTGGCCCTGTCTTTGTCAATGTGAAGTTTTCCTGATTCCTGTCTTGTGAAGAAGGTAGTTACAAGTGCATTCAGCTAAGCGGGTCAAAAGTCTCCGTGATTAAGACAGTGGATCAGAGGTCACCATTACAAACCCAGGAGCCGTGGCAGAGACAGGAAAGAGCACATTCCTAAGAAAAGCTCAGCCTGGACCATATGGGCCGTGGGGAGGCTGAGTGGGGGTTCCACCCTTCAGAGCCGCCTCCCAGGGACTCTGACTTATGCAAAGCTTTCCCTGGAATGGCTTCTTCTGGGGCCTCCAGTCCAGAGGAGGACCCGGCTCGACCATGGAGGCCCCTTCTATCTTTGGGTCCTCTGAGAGGTGAAGACACCTCAAGGGAGGATTGTATCACACAAGGAGCATTTCTCAGTGCAAAGGACATTTTATTAGTTGTCTCCTAAGCCCCTGGGTGTTTGGTGGCAGTTCCTTCTGTCTGAGGAAGAATGTGGGCTCAGAAAAATTAATGAACTCTGCTGGAGAGATTAGTGGAGATTAAACAGAGGCAGAGCCAAGACTGAAGGCAAGTGAATGGGCTCCTCTGGAGCTCTGCCCGCCTGCAGCGAGTGGGTGGGGGTGTCCAGGCCTGGGGACTGGCCATTCTAGGAAGACTCTTCAGGGACTGTCAGTCTGGAAAAGCAGCAGCATAGATGAAGCCTCTGACCCAGAGCTGGGAAACTCAAAAACCCCGGGTGGTTCTGAGGTGCCCACATGGCAGTGCCCTGTGGTGCCCACTTTCTTGTCCTCCAGTCCTCTTCCCTACTGAGAACCTGATGGCCCCAAGGCTCCCTCCAGACCCGGTCTGCACTCTAGGGACCCCAGAGAAGGTCCTGGCAGCCCAAGGAGGAGCCGCCCTTCCCCTCCACCCACCCCCAAGCTCAGCAGCCACCTCATACTGAGCAGAAGCTGTGCTTTTCTTAAGAATTTCCTCATCCGTGAGTTCTTTGTAACTTACTTCACTTCTCTCTGCCCTCCCTTCACTTTCATCATCTGTGCACTGACAAGAAACCAGAGGGATGGAAGTGAGGGGAAGGGAAGGACTTGTCAGGGGCTTTGCTGAATTCCACACTGCCTGAATCCCTCTATACCACCTCTCATTTAATCTTCTCTGCAGGCCGACGAGGTAGGTTCCATTTTACAGATGATAAAACTGAGGCTCCAAGACATGGAGTGACTTGCCCCGTACCCCCAGCTCCTAAGTGGGCCAGCCCTGGGTCAAATGCTTTGTCCACTTGCTGGAACAATCCCTTTCTTTTCCTTCTCTCAATAGACCTTAATGTCAGAGCAGGTTTAGGTTTACAGAAAAATTGAGCAGAAAGCTGAGCCCCACGTACCCCTCTGCCCCTGCACTTGCATTTGTGTGGCAGCTTCTTTGGAGATGCTGGTTCTAATCCTGAGGCAGAGCCAGGATTAGAATCTGAGTCTGTGGGGTCCAAAGACCAGGACGAGGGGGTGGCCGGGCAAGGAAAGAGGCCTGGCTCCTTCCCGAGGGCTCTGAGTCTAGCCAAGAACGGGGCTTAATAACATGAGCGGGTGTGTTCTGGGGCAGGGCCAGCCTGATCTCCATGGTTCCCATCAACTCTGGGTGGCAACCAGGCTGTCCACCCTTCCCTGGGGTGGCACAGCTGGAAGCTAAAACCCCTCTTCTTCCCCTTTATCCAGGGCCAGCTTCCAGGTTTGGGGGAGGGGGTGCATGGAGGAAGGGGAGGCGGATGAGTGGCAGGTGGAAAGTGAACAGCTCAAGCCCTGGGGAGAGCTGGTAGCCTCAGGGGCTGTCTGAGGCTGGCTGCTTGTCTGAGGGGATATTGCCCCGGGGCAAGATGACCGGTTGATTAACTATGGCTCAGGGACAGCAAGACCTGGTGGCTTCTGTCACATAAGTCCCCCATCCTTACACTTCCTTACCTCTCCCGCCCCGGGGCCTCAGTCCCAGGCCCCAGGAATGCGCTGTCCCCATCCAACCAATGGGGGCTCCGACTCCAGGATATTTCCTGCCTCTGGCCACCCCTGGGCACAAGATACAGAGCTGCTTATGTGCACAAACACATGTGTTCAGAGTAGGTGGGCACAGACCCTGCACACGTATGTGCTGGCCTCACACCCGTCTCTCTCAGCAACAGAGAAGTGGTGCTACGAGATTCAAGCCAAGGCCTCCAACAACAGCTGCCCGGGTGAGTGCTGTCCTGGGGACGCGCCTCTCTGCGAGGCGGGGACTGTCCAGGGTGAGGTGGATCCCCAGAGAGGGGAGGGCGAAGGCTGATGGTGGCCCCCTCAGGAAGGTATCGGTGCGGCACACACGCATGTGCACACACACTCCTGGTGCTCAGGGAGCAGGGGCTGCAGAGTGACCCGAGTCTTCCCTGGTACGGCCTGCTGTCCTCTCTGTCACCCAGAAAGCATGTGTTCTACGAAATAAGCCAGCAGCGCAGCCAAGGGGAAAATACATGTTCTTTCTTTTTTTTTTTGAGCTTTTTAACACGTTGTTCTTTTTTTACAACAACGCGGAATGCTGGCTCTACTGCAGTGCACCCCGGCCTGGCACCTGGATGGTCGTCCTTTGCACTTTTTACTCAAATGCTGTGTGTGTGTGTGTGTGTGTGTGTGTGTGTGTGTGTCACTGACTGCTCAGCTGCCTACCTGAGCCCCACCCGGCTGGGTGTGGGAGTCACCAGGGTGTGGGAGTCACCAGGGTGTGAAATGAGCTCCTGGAGTTACTTCTCTGCTGCAGACCTGGCAAGGTATCTGTTCCCAGGGGACTCCTCTGGGCAGCTTCCCTGTGCTCTCCCAAGCACCCTTGACCGCCTAGAGCCCCCGGGAAGCGGATTACCCAGCAGTGCCTTGACAGCCCAGCCTCTGGACGCTCTCACCCCGGAGCTCACGCCACCCACTGGCCAGCATGTCCCACCCTGCCCCACACCGCAACCCAACAGACACCCTTGGCTTTGTGCATGCGCGTGCATGTGCGTGCGTGCGTGTGCGTGTGTGTGTGTGTGTGTCTGAGGAAGAAGGCCCCAGAGCGCGAGGACAGAGCTCTGCATCCCCAGACCTTGCTGCCCGAGCTGGGACCCCCGGGCTGACCCAGGGGAGCCGGGCGCCCTGGCCGCTCAGCTGCCCTCCCTCCCTGCCCAGGGCCGGCCCAGTGGCCGGGGGACTGCCAGAAGACCCGCCAGTCCCCCATCGACATCGTCCCCGCCAAGACAGTGGTGAACCCAGGCCTGGGGTCCTTCTCCTTCTCCGGCTATGACAAGAAAGAGAAGTGGCCGGTCTCAAACAATGGGCACACAGGTGGGTCTCAGGCAGGAGGGGCCCCCCCGAGCTCCCTGAGGACTGGGAGGGTGCATCAGCCTCACGTCCGCCTTGGCTGAGGAGGGGCCGCCAGAGAGGGCTTTGGAAAGAAGGGAGCAAGAGCAGCAGGCTCAGTCATTCATCAGGCCAGTCTGGGGGTGGGGGAGGCTCTCGGAAAAAGGAACAACATGTGCAAAGGCGCGGAGGCGTGAAACAGCTTGGGGTGCTCGGGGAACTGCGCATGGCCCGTGTGGATGAAGGACAGAGTGCGGCAGGAGGGGCGGGGACCAGGCCCAGGGTCAGCCGGGCTGGGCCCAGGGGCAGGTCACCCAGGGCTCTTTGGACATTCCCCTGAGGACACCAGGGCACCATTCAGGGGGGCGGCAGGGGAGGAACCGGGTAAGCTGCCTGTTTGGAGCAGTGGGGGATGTGCAGAGGGAGAGGCTGGCAGGGAGTGGGGGGGCGCCAGGGAAAGGTCAGGGCCTCTACCACTCCGTCTAGGCCTGGGGAGGGTGGGAGGTAGAGAGAAGGCCCTGCCTGGGTGCAGCTGGGAAGGCGAGGGGAAGTGAGTGCCAGGATCCTGCCTCTCCTCGCCCCCTCCAGTGATGGTGTCGCTGTCCAGTGATATCACAATCTCTGGGGGAGGCCTGGCCGCCCAGTACCGGGCCACGCAGCTGCACCTGCACTGGTCCGAGAAGCTGGGTAATGGCTCGGAGCACAGCCTGAATGGGAAGCACTTTGCCATGGAGGTAAGGGCCCCTTCCTGGGCCAGCGCCTTCCCTGGGCTCTGAGTGACCGCCTTTGGGCAAGGAGGGCGCCCAGCCCCCTCACAGGTCTTCTCTCCATCCCTCTCACGCCCCGCCTCCCACCAGATGCACATAGTCCACGAGAAAGTAACAGGGACATCAAAGAACAAGAAGGAAGTCCAGGACTCCAAAGATGATATCGCGGTGCTGGCCTTCCTGGTGGAGGTGGGATCCCCATCTCTCAGTTCCCAAAGAAGCCAGGTTCTGGGGAGCTGCTTTTTAGGAGTCAGAGACCTGGGGTTCCAGCATGGTGGGAGGGGGCTGGAAAGGCCCTGACTTCCCCTCTGCTTCTCAGGTACATGTACACCCCGAGGTGGGGAACCCAGAACCTTTCCGGGCCTCAGTCCCAGAAGCTGGCTGCCCTCCCCACCCCAGATCAGGAGAGTGAACTGGTGGTGACCCAACCCCCCACCGCCACCAGCCCCCTCGCCCCCCCCCCCCCCCCCGTGCTTCTTAAGCCCTTTCCCCTCCTGTTCCAGGCTGGATCCAAGAATGATGGCTTCCAGGCCCTGGTGGATGTGTTGCCTGACGTCTCCAAGCCCCGTGAGTGAGGATGAGAAAGAGGGGAGGCTGGAGGGAGAAGGAGGGAGGAGACTTCTTCCCGCAGAGGAAGGGCTGGGTGGTGGGGCTCCTGGGCTCTCGGAATGAGGTCCTCAGGGGACCCCACAACGGATGGCATCCTGACCCTCTGCTCCAGACAGTCAAACCACGATGAAGAAGAGCATCAGCCTGTTCGACCTGCTCCCGGAGAAGGAGAAGCTGGAGGCCTACTTCCGCTACCTGGGCTCGCTCACCACGCCCGGCTGCCAGGAGAAAGTCGTCTGGACTGTGTTTGAGGAGCCCATTAAACTCCAGGAAGAGCAGGTACCCAGGACATGGCCAAAGAATAGGCTGCCACTGCCTGGCTCCCCAGAAGCCATCCCTCTGGATCCCCCAGGGGTCGCTGGGTGGGGGTGGGGTGCTCCAGAGAGCTGAGTTCCATTGATTGAATCCATTCATGCCCTGGGGGGACAGACACAGCCGGTCCCAGCTGTCCCCTCCTGGCTTGAGTCCGGCTGGAGGGGAGGCTGTGCCAGTGGTCAGAGCAGGCGTTCAGGCTGCCTCCTGCCATGGTGGAGGAGGGGCCAGCTCTGAGGGCAAAAAGAGTATTTCCTGGGCCAGTGGGGTCAACATCGGCAGGGACTAGCCAGACTCCTAATTCCCATGTCTCCCCCAGACCAGTGGAATCTGAAATTCTGTGGGTGGGGCCTGGCCATGGGGTCACCACACGCCCCAGGAGATTCTGCTGCATGTGCAAGCGTGGTACCCACTGTAGTGCAGCAGTCGGGATCATAGGTTCTCAAAGCTGTGACGGGGCATTCACGTGGCCTGAGGAAGCTAATGGGAACTGAGCCCCCGCCAATGCCAAGCACTTTATATCCCTTATTTTTTCATTTGCACAAATACCTGAGAGGTGGGGCTTCTAAGGCCCTTACTAATGAGGGCTCAGAGAGGCCAGTGACAGGCTGAGGCCACACAGCAGGGAGTGCAGCTCCACCCGCTGCCCCTCTTCACCAAGCCCTGTTCCTTCCACAGATCCTTGCGTTCTCCCAGCATCTGTACTACGATGAGCAGAAGAAAATGGCCATGACAGACAATGTCAGGCCCCTGCAGCACCTGGGACAGCGCTCAGTGTTCAAGTCCCAGGCCCCAGGACAGCTGCTGTCCTTGCCCTTGACCACCCTGCTGGCCCCCACACTCGCCTACCTGACTGTTGGCTCCCTCCGATGATGGCTCGCTTCGGGACACTTGACCTCTGACTCCGCCCTCAGAGGACTTAGCCCTTGGTTCCTTAAGCTTCCAAGTTTTGATTTTGATTTGGTGATTAAAATATGGGTATATTTTTGGAGAAAACTTTCTCAGATCTCTTTGTAGTTCCCACAATTTCTCTGCCATGTTCTCCTCAACCCACCCCTGTTCCAGGGTAGAGGCCTTAAGGCCTGGTGATTCCTTCCAAGCAGGGACACTAGGCACCCCATCACCCCACTTTGCCAATGTCCTCTCTCTCCTACTTTGAGAGATGCAGGAAGCACCTCAGAGCTTCAGTGGCGGTGAAAGCCAGAGAAACTCCAGACCCACCTCTTCATTATGCAACGGGGAGCTGGAACACAGGATGGAGAGGCCTGAGGCTGGGAGGCGGCGGCAGAGCCCACTGAGACCCCCAGCCTGATGTTTCGTCCCTGCCCTAGAGGACCGCGTGCAGGCACTGTGTGGGTGCGGTCTAGGAGAGGCGGCCACGGGATGTTCACTTATTCACTCAAATGTTTCTTGAGCATCCTCCTGTCCACTGAGAGATATGACGCCTGGCAGTAAGGGCCAGAATGGGCACAGCCTGTCCAGGGCACAGGGCTCTTGCCTCCTCCCCATGCTCTGCCCACTTCCCTGCACCTGGGAATGTGGTCGGGAATAGACAGACAAAAACACCTGCCTTCCTGGAGTTTGCTTCCCACGGGAGACAGGCCGCATGTCAAACAGGCCGTGGATATTGTGTCAGAAGCCAACCGCTAAGAGAAAGCTCAGTCAGAAAAGAAGGTCATTAGGGCCCCTGGCGCTGGCATCCTGGCATCCAAGACTGGAAGGAGGTCAGGGGGAGACCATCTGGAGGCTGGCAAGTGCCATTTGGAGGAACAGCAGGGAGGCCGGTGGGGAGTGGAGGCAGTGAGGGAGGAAGCCGGAGTAGCTGAGGGAGAAAAAAGAGAAAGGGGAAAGAGTAGAGAGAGAAGGGTGTGAGGAGAGAGAGAGACAGGGGAGACGTCCTGGGAGTGTGTGTGTGTGTGTGTGTGTGTGTGTGTGTGTGTGTGTGTGGTCTCTGGTCAATCCAATGTACTTAGGAGATTTGAGTGATACACCCCCCACCTCCACAATTGCATCTCTAATGGTTTCTTCCCTTCTGGACCCCAGAAGGCACTGAGACTGGAGAGGGAAGGTCAGGCGAGCCAGGGAGGGGAAATAGGGAGGACCTCATCATCCAGGCATCCGGGGCAGGGCTGGAATTTGGAGGAGCGTGAGATTTGAGATGGGGTGATGGAGACGAGAACAGGCCTTGTTGGGTGAAAAGGATCCCCCAAGGACCAGGCCCAGGACAGTGTGGGGACCTCTCTAATAGCCGCCACTGACTAGGGGGACTTCCTGCCCACTGAGAGATATGATGCCAGCTACGTGGGCACAGGAGAGGTCCAATACCCATCGTTGGTCTGGGGAGAGCAGCTGGCTGGATGAGGAGACCTCACGCTTCTCCCACCCTGATACCCTCAGCGCCCCTGACCGCAGGCCACGTCTGGGAAGAGGGAGAAGGGCTGCTCCCCCTCCATGCCAGCCTCTCCCTCCCTGTTCTCTTTCGTGACCAAGAATAAGCAACCCCCTCCCTACACTGGTGACCACACAGCCTTGGGGGGGGTTGGTACTGCTGTCACCATGGCAACAGCAGGCAGCCTGTGTCAGCAGGGGGTGTGTGGACACGAACCTGTTTTGGTTCCCACGCAGCCTGCAGGGTATCTAAGATTTAAACTGTGCCCCCCTCTCTCCAACTCAGGGTTTTCCCTCCCCCACCTCCACCCTCTCCTTCCCCCCCACCCCCCACTCTGTGCCTGCCCTCAAGGCAACATTCAATGAATAACATGGCAGTAAAACCAGGAAGTCCTAGCTCTCTGCTAGTGACGAAAGAAGACTTGGCGTCTAACTCCAGACTCCAGACAGAAGGCACGAGACCCTCCCCCAGGCCCCTGACCTCATAATAATAAACCTGGCCAGTGAGGGCCAGAATGGGCACAGCCTGTCCAGGGTACAGGGCTCTTGCCTCCTCCGCATGCTCTGCCGCCTTCCCTGTACCTGGAAGCTGGAGCAGGTGCTGCCAGCAAGACTCCTAGCAAGGTCACTCCTGGTCAGTCACCCTAGGAGTGGGCACCAGCCTCCCTGAAATTGGCCCCTGCACCCTGGACACAGAGATTGATGGGTATTTCCTTTGGCTGGGTGTGTGTGCCTGAGAGTTTCCTCCCCTCACACCACCCTCCTGCCTACCCCCTTAGCAGACCCCCCTCTGGAGAAGCTTGTGCCCTGCCAGATCTGGCTCTTGATACTGCTCTCCCAGAGACAATGGGGGCTGCCAGCGACTCCTTACTCACAAAGAGGGCCCAGCCAGCCACCCCAATCCCACTCTCATTCACTCTGAATGCAGTGCCCCGGGTCTCCACGGTGGGCGTGCAACATGCTCATGCACCAGTACAGACACGCGTGGCCGTGGCTGGCCAGGCCTGGGAGGGCTGGGTGGCAGCTGCTGGCTCCAGCACAGACCGGGGTGCGTCTGCTGGATGCCCACTGTGCTGGGCCTGTCTCTATGATCCTAGGATGGCAGAATTATTTCTTCAGTTGCACAGATGAGGAAACTGAGGCACAGAAAGGGTGAGGGACCTGTCAGTAGCTGGGGTCACTTCCCTGCACCTCCTTGACCCCCAAGTCCTGCGCTCCCCTTTGGCAGTCTTCAGAGGGAGACAGACCTCTGGACCAGGGGCAGGGTGGGGTCAGCAGTGCCCGGTCCCACCCTGTCTCCGCAGGCTGCTCTGTATTCCCGATGGGACGAGACGTCTATCTGACCCCCTGTTTTGATTTGGCATCCGGGTGGGAGGCAGGGACTAAAAATATTCCCTATGTGTTTAGATGATTCTTAAAAAATAAACTTCCCCATCTTGGCTCTTGGTTCGCATGCTTGCTGGCCCTGCTTCCTGTGACTCTGATCTGACTGTGTGGGGAGAGGGGAGGAGAGGGTCTCTAGGGGCCCAGGGCCCTGAGCAGTGGGGTGATGCACGCAGGCAGAAGCAAACATGTGTAGAGGCTGCTGTGTCAAAAGGCTACAGAGAGCATGTTCTGAACAGTGCGGGTGACCCTGAGGCTCTGTGCCTATGTGTGGGTTGTGAGTAGGAAGTCCAGGGAAGCTGATGACCCCACAGCATGGAGACAGGGCTCCCCTGCTCTGGGTCTCAGTTTCTCCGCCTGCCTAATGGGCTAGAGCTGGTACTTCCATCTAACTGGGCCCAGCTGCCCCTAGGCTCCTGCTGGTGACCTCGGGAGGCAGGCCAGGCCAATTTCTGTGGGTGGGGTGCTGCTCCTGCCCCTCCCATCACACACGTCCACACGTCTGAGCGGCTCTGTTTGTTTATCTGAGTGGGGACAAAGGCATTATTTTCTCTAGGGACCAGGAGCCGGCCCTGGGCCCTGGCGGTGGCGTGGGGAGGGGCTTCCTTTGGAAGAGAGCTCCTGGACGGTCTAAGTCCCAGGCCAGTTCCTTCCTCAGCGCCCTAGCCCCAGCTGAGCCTGGACACATGGAGGGCTCGTCACAGTCCGAGTGGTGGCTGCTGCCAGGCCTGAGGGGACAGGGGCAGGGATAGGGGGCAGGGAAGGCATATAGGCACATTTAGAACAAGATATATTTCAATTAGCTTTCGTCTTTCGACAAACACTGTTATTCAGCTCATTATTTAACCACTGGATCAAAATGGCAGGCTTCAAAAATGCAGACATTAACTGGCTCAGTTCCTGTGTGTGGGAGAATCAAATCCTTGTGTCTTTTCCCTGCCTCGTGCCTATTCTATGCAGTTCCCAGGAGGGGCCATTCTAGTTCTCAATATTGAATTAGCCCATTGTTCTGAGAGGTGATATCAGAAGACAGATTATGTTATTCCCCACTTAATACACAACCATTTTTGATTACTAACTAAGACTGTATGGTAAGTAGTTAATAATGACAACTTGTTTTGAGAAAAAGCAACCAAACGCTGTTATTCCCTCTGTGCCGGGGAGAGAATCTGGGGAGAAAGCGTCCACTGTGTGTCTCTGCAGACACATCCTGCGCTGCAGTAGCAGGTGATGAGAGGAAGACCAGGCCCCAGACCCACACAGACCAGTGTTTGAGGTGGATCACAGCAGACTGGCTAGGGAGGGTGCTTTCAGATATAATTTAATGCACCATTCTGAGCCTCAGTTTCTTCATCTGTCCCAGGCTTCCTGTGGGACATAAAACAGGGAGGATGGCACTATTTTGAAGGTTGCTGTAAAGATGAAACAAGATGCCTCACCATAAGGATGAATTCAATAATCATAATTATCGTCATGCTTTTTATAATATTACAGAAAACACTGAAGGATGGGGGTACCACAGATGGGGAGAAAATGACCATTTTTGGGGGTGTGGTAGGGAACGGTGGGTGGTGGTTGGAATTCAAAGGTGTTCACAGAGGTTCTCCTCTGTGTAAGTGACACCTGAAGGAGTAATCTGGACCTCAACAGGCCGCCAGCTTCCCATGATGTTCTGGGTGACCTTCTGAGCAAAGGTCAAGCTGGGAGGTCGGCCAGCAGCAGATATGTGGGGGAGAGGCTGTCCTGCTCTTACTGGGAGGAGAGGGGGCAGGAACCAAGACCCATTGGAGAGGGGCCCACCTCTCTGCTCCGATACCGAGAGGTCACCCAAGCGGCGTCCCCACCCACCCACACACAGACTGATCCACTGAAGTCAACCTCCCAGCTTGACCTTTACCCATGGGTTACCCAGAACAGCATGGGAAGCTGGGGGTTGGTCAGGTAAGGTCCAGGCTGCTCCTGCAGGTCTCATGTCCCTGATCTGTGGAGGAGGGCCAGGGTTGGAGTCAGGCTGAGTCCATTCAGGGCCCCTCCTGTTTCTGCCTGGGGATCTGTTGGACTTGGGGGCTAGTTTCACATCTCACTCCCTTCCAACTCTTCCTCTCCCCTTTCCCAAGAAACCCCAAGATTACCAAGTGTGACCTCGGATGGATGCATCCCTCTGTCCATTACTGGCTCTGTCCCCGGTTGGGTGCCAAAAGGTTTGTCTTGTCTGGGTTTGCTGGAGGCTTCTTCCTGCACAGGCTGTGCCCACCTGGGGTTGCTAGATAAATTTGATTTTCAGGCAGCTGGCAAATTAAAAGAAAAAAATTTTTAGTATAAGTGTAACCTGTTTCAAAAAAACAGGCCCAAAATGGAGTCGTTCATGCTGAGGCCACTAAGACTTAATAGCTAACCTAATTGCAGTTTCAGCCTCTCCTAAAAGTGGTAATTTAAACTAATCAACCAGAAGCTCCTAGCCAGCCCTGGTGAGGTCATCTGCATAATAAGATCCCCTGCCTTCCCCTAATGGAAGGTGGCCCTGCCTGAAGTAATCTTTCTTTCATTTTTCTAATAACCTTGTCCCACTAATTCTGGATATAAAAACCTTCCACTTCGATAACGTTTTGCAGCGCCTTTCTACTTGCTAATTGTAATGCTGCCAGAGTCACGAAATCATTTAATAAAGCCATTAGATCTTTAAAATGAACTCGGTTTAAAAAAATCAGCTAACCTGAATTTTTGTTACTTAACACCCCAAAATTGAATGGGGCATATTTAAACTGGGGGTCCTGTTTCTATTTACTAAGGCAGTCACACCCCCATCCCATCTACCTCAGGGAGACTGAGACCAAGAGAGAAGGGTGGACAAAAAAGGGAAGAGATTGGCTGAGATCACCACCAGCACTTCCTCTTCTAGGCCACTCCCTCTCTCCCTCAGCTGTCAGGCCTCCAGGATTCTGGAATTGGGCTCCCTGGGGGAGGGTGGCTGGACGCCCTTCAGAGTTGGAGTAGGCCCTTCTGCTGCCGATCTCCTCCCTGCAATGTTCCCATGACTTGGGAAAGGACAATGCTAAGGAAATCGTCCTCCTTCTCCCTTGGTCTCTGCGTGACTCCTGCCTGGCTGAGCTGGAGGTGCTAGTCACCCTTCCTGACGTCCAGCAGCCACCACTGACACAGCCACTCTCATGGAAAGAAATCTTCAGACGTGCCTGTCTCCTGTCCCTGGGTGGAGTGGGAAGGGGCCTGATGCCAGGGCTTTATTTACAAACTGTGGAGACTAAACAGGTCCCGGACCCCGTCGGGATTGGAGTCACTCTTCAATCTCACAGCCTGGAGTGCAGGAAGAGCAAGATCCAGGCACCAACAGGCAGCTGAGTGTCTGGTTCAAAGGAGGCGCCCTTCCTTCCATCCCTTTCACCTTATGATCTCCCCCACCTGCTGGACTGCCTTTAGCGATCATTATTTGCATACTTAATCTGTTATGCCAAGCCCTTTGTGAGGTACTTTATACCTACTATCTGCTTGAATCCTAATGACAAGCTTTAGAACATGAATTCCCACCGGAAAACTTCAGGGCAGCAGGGATTTCCTGTCTTGTTTACTGCTTGTGGGGGGACACTGATGTGCAGCACAAAGTCCCTTCAAGGAATGCCTAGTCCTAACTGCCGGTGTTACCTGAGTGGAGACACCTTCCACTCTTGGCTTGTCTCCCGAGGTCACATTCCCTTGTGCAGTGCCCAACAATCAATGGCCGGTCAATGACAATCCAGGGCTGGCCCGACTTGGGACAACTCCAAAGGGCCAGTCCAGCTCCAGAACTCCTGCAGGAACTGTCAAGGTTACTGTTGGGCTTGCACGGCAGTTCCACTTCTCTCTCCACAATCCTTTTTTTTTTTTTTTTTAAGATTTATTTATTTATACAAGAACTGGGGTACAGTTCAGAGGTGCAGGAGGGTGAGAAAATTCACCAGAGATAGCGCGGGGAGCAGAACAGGCAGACGGACCAAAGACACTGCTGAGGGGAGCAGCGGGCGAGGCAGGAGAGGTCTGCCGGGCCATATGGGTTCCTCCCTGGCTGGCTGGGAACCGAACCTGCACTGTAGAGGCTGCGGACAGCTTCAAAGTGCGGTGCTCAACCCGCTGCGCCACCGGGGAGGCCCCCCTTTTTTTTAAAAAAGATTTATTTATTTATGCATACAAGAACTGGGGTGCAGGCCAGAAGTGCAGGGTGGGGAGGAGAGGATTCACCAGAGACAGAGTGGGGAAAAGAAAAGTCAGATTGACCAAAGTACACTGCTGAGGGGAGCAGTGGGCGAGTCAGGAGAGGTCTGCTGCGCCATGTGGGTAGCTCCCTGGCCAGGGATGGAACTCGTACTTCAGTGGCTGCGGATAGCTGCCTAGTGCTGAGACTTTAACCCTGGTGCCACCAGGGAGGTCCTCTTTCCCCAACTCTGCCACAGGCATTGATCCTAGAGGCTGGGTCCACAGCTCTCAATCAATACTGGGATGGATGAACCCAGGGCAGACACTGCTGCTGCTGACTCCAAACAAACATCAGCATACTCACTGCAGTACGGACTCGGGCAAAACTATGGGGCAGTCTCCAGAGCTCACTGAATCCTTAGCACAACCTTCTGAGCCAGATATTTCTATTTTCTCCATTTTCAGGGGAGGAAATGAAATCCGTGAGTCATGGCTAACAAGAAGAGAGTGGTAGCAGCTTTGGCACCCAGACAATTTGGTACGTGTCAACCCTCTTACCCACTCTATGCGCTGCCACTTCTCTGAAGGAACCTTGCCAGCCAGCAAGTGGCCGAACTGGGAATTGAACCCAGATCTGTAAACCCTGCAGTCCTTGCTGCTTCGCTTGAACTGAGTGCTGTTGGCTGGCAAGCACTCCTGGGAGTCTCCGCTGACAAGGAAGCTTGGATGGTAAAAGTTACCACGCCAGCCAGAGATGCTGGGAACACAAACTGTTCCCTAGACCTGGAATGCTCTCCTCTGCCCTTCCCCACTGTGGTTTTTCTTGTGAAGGCTAAACACCAGCCAGAAGCCAGCTTAGACGTGACCTTCTCTGCAAAGCCTTCCCCAGGCTCTGCTTCCTCCTCCTCTCCCTTCAAGACACCAAGGGCCGCCCCCTCCACCCAAGACAGGCGGATCTCCATCACCGGCGGGTCATCAGAGTATGGAAGGGCCAGGCCAAGGTTGGCCACACAGAGGGGGTCAGGCAGCAAATGTTTGCAGAATGAATGAATGAAAGGAAAACCGATAACAAAGCACAGAATAGCAGGCACCATTCCAAATCCATGACTAAATATTTACCTTGCCCATTGGGCAATCCTGAGAGATAAGCCCCATTTGGTGAGCTCTATTTATGCCGATTTTCCCTCCGTGACAGACACAACCAAGCTGGGTTTGTTATAGTTTGAACAGCTGTTTCCACATGTGGGGCCTGTGTGCACCAGGTGCTCGATCCTCGGCTTCCGCTGTCTCCCTGCTCCAGGTCCTTTTCAGGGAATCTGCTTCCCAATCCTGGGGCCCTAGATGGCCTGGCCCCTCCACCCAGCAGGTCTGGCTTGGGTGTCATCTCTACAAACTGTAGTCAAATTGGGGTTTCACTCTAATTTAAGCTGTAGCTTCATGTGCAGCTATGGGATTGAGTCCTATCCAGAGCTGCTTGGATGGAAACACAACAGACTTGCCTGGGTCTACTACCTGAGTGGCCTGTTGTGGGACACCTCTCTTAAGGGAAAGGGGTTGTGGGGTGACATGTTGGGTCTAAGTGAAGCTTCAGAGTTGTAGGGAGGAGTTCAGTGAGTTCAGTGAGGCGTCTACCAATCAGCTTCTGGGATTCACGTTGGGGGTCAGAAGGAAAATAGCAGAGGATGGAAAGAATAATTTCACCCAAACACTAACCTTCGGTGGGAAAGAAGCTGTGCCTTGGGAACACTCAGGTGGAATCTAGGGACCCTGGTGCCCAGGGGAGGCAATGGTGGTGTTTGAGGGGTACCCAGGAGATAGGCAGCCCTGCCCAGTGGACACCACACCACGTGGCAGCTGACAGAACTACTTTCAGACACTTTGAGATAGCCTCCAGACAATGTGTCAATGGGCACAGGGAGGGGGTGGGGGTTGCATGGGGGTGGGGGTTACTTTGCAGGGGGTCCAGGGAAGGGCCAAAGAAACTGCCTCAGCCCAGCGAGTGGCTTTTCACTGAGCCCAGGCTGGTGTGGCCTGGCCAGCACAGCAGGCGCAGGAGCCGATTCACTGAACACTGCTGTGTACAATTTGGTGTTGGTTCAAATTCAGGGAGTGCACAGCCTTGTGCTCTAGATGAGGAAAAGATTTTCTCAACAAACTCTATGCAAACAGGATTACAACATGTAATTCCCTAAATATTCTCCCTGAGCCTCAGCTTGATGTCGCACCCATGCAGCTACTTCCAAAAGTATTACCTCAAGATTTGACGTCAATTTTTTTTCCCAATCAGTAATACAGGTTAGATTTTCTACCAAATTTATACTGGTTATTTCCCAGAGTCCAAATTTGGCATTCTCTGTCTCTACCCACAACTCCCAACACACACATACACATGGCAGCTTTGGATTGAGGCCTAGTATGTTCATTATCGTCAAAGTGGAGTGATGAGAAAACCAGAGTTAGGCTCCAAAGTCCAGAGGGGAAAACAATGGGCTGCCTCTTTGGGGCTCTGCAGTCAGAATGAATGGAAGGATGGGGAGGATGCGTGCAGCCGGGGAGGCTGCATGCAGCCGGGGAGGCTGCCTGCTGCGTGATTGGTCTACCACTTTGGCCGGATGGACATGTGGTGTTTGGTTTAGGGCCCAGGCTTAAGGGCACAAACACCTGGTATAAATGGTCAGGCTCAATTGTTCTCCCTCCCTTCCCAGGAAAGGCCAGGAAGGAAAAGGCCTCAGCTTGAGAAGGAGGTATTGTCCTCAGTGGGTTAAGCACCATGGTCAGGTAGCCAGGTCTGGCAGGGGGCCAGTGGGGAACACGAGAATTTCGTGTCTGCTGGGTGACAGCTGCCTTCCCGAGTATAAGTTACTTAATCTTTATCTTTCCCATCCTGTCTCTGGAACTATCATGTCCTAGTTAAATCCCGATAAGACACTTTAAAACAATCCAAAGTCCAGTTGGAGCCAGAGGCCTTAACCTGACCCAGAGTCTGTCTTTCTCCTTCCCTGGCCTACCTCCCCTTTCTCTATCTGTCTAGCTCCTTAGGGTTCCTGGGCTGCCAGAGCTTGGAGAAATCAAGCTCAGATGTCAGTCTTCATCAGTGGTGACTATTTGCTCCTGAGAGTTCTTCATCTCCCAGGAAGAGAGGTAGGGGCTTTCTGGACTCCTATTTTCTCTCCCTATCTGATAAAAATTTGCATGAGCATAAGTATTATCTGTTATAGTAGGGTTTCCACATCTACTTCCTCAATTGGTGCTTATCACAACACTATATAGCAGCCAGGGTCATGATTAGACTCATCCCTTGTCAAGGACAGGCCAGTGAGGTTTAGGATGATTGCCCCACCTTGCAGGAGTTACTAAGTGTCCACAGACTTCAGCTCAGGGTGAAGTGGGGTGGTGTAGAAACCACTGTATTAATCTGGGTATGACTCCAGTTCGGAAACAGTTCATCCATGTGACACTTTAGGTGAGAGATTTAATCCCAAAGAGTCTCTGTTTTCCTTCATCTATAAAAGCTGATGCTAATGCATTCCTCATAAAGATGTGACGTTAAACAATGAATGAAACATGCATAGCATGGGGTCTGACAAATAGCAGATATTCTAAGTGCCGCTTTCCAACTTTTCTCCCAGTTCCAAGCCCAGGACTATCCTTTATATCACACAGTGGGTACTCAATAAACATTTGATGTATGAGGGATAATCTCTGCCCTCACCCTATCCCATCTCTCCCAAAGTAAAAAGCTGTTTATTTGCAGCTCCAAGCTCCAGGGATTTATGCAGACAGGAAATGATAGTAGTAACTTTCTCCAAAGGGCACATTAAAGGCCACAGGCCCCCGGGCTGGTTCCCTATAGATGCCCAGTCACAGGGGCTCTGGGCACGACCTGCAGTCTCCATGAAGAGGGAGGCTGATTGGTTTTTACTCTGACTGGCTGTTGTGCAAGCAAGCACAGGGCAGGTTCACTATCGATTCAGGCAGCTAGATAAGGAGAGTCCAGGAGGATTTTTCAGGCCTTTTGTTTGTTTTTTTTTAAAGATTTATTTATTTATGCATGAAGAACTGGGGTGTAAGTCAGAGGTGTGGGGGGTGAGAGGATCCACCAGAGACAGAATAGGGAGCAAAACAGGTGGATCTACTGAAATACACTGCTGAGGGGAGCAGTGGGCAAGACAGGAGAGGTCTGCTACGCCATGTGGGTAGCTCCCTGACTGTAGATTGAACTTGTGCTGCAGTGGTTGCTGATACCTTCATAGTGCTGAGACTTAACCCCTTGTGCCACAAGGGAGGCCTGGTTTTTCAGGCCTTCATTGCTCTCTCAGGGAACCAGGTACACAAGCACACCAGGCAGGGAGGCTGGCATGCGAGGAGGCAGGCATGGGGTGAGGAGGAGGGCTGGGAGGCAGGCAGGCACCTGAGCCCCCACTAATCTTTACACTTTTTTTTTTTTAAAGATTTATTTATTCATTTACACAAGAACTAGGGTACAGGCCAGATGCACGGGAGGGTGAGAGGATTCATCAGAGACAGAGCAGGGAACAGAACAGAAAGACTGATGAAATACATTGCTGAGGAGAGCAGCGGGAGAGACAGGAGAGGTCTGCTCGCCATGCGGGACCCTCCCTGGCTAGCGGGGATCGAACCTGCGCTGCAAAGGCTGCAAACAGCTTCACAGCGCAGCATTCAACCGCGTTGCGCCACCAGGGGAGGCCCAATATTTACACTCTTTCTCTGGGCTCTCTCTGGCGTTCTCTCTCACGATCTCACCTCTCCTGTAGTCACTCGGCCTCTCGCAGCCGTCCTCCAGTAGCCTTCCTGTAGCCATTCTTTTATCTTTGAGTGATGCCTCCCTTATAGCCCAGCCTCTAGGCTCAGGTGTGCACACTTATGCATGTCCACACCCATGCTCCAGGTGTCCACAATCAGGCACAAATGTCCCATGCCCATGCTCCCAAGTGCCTTTTGGATCAACACAGTCAAGGCCACAGGTGATAGCCACAGAGTTTAGTGGCATAAGAGCCTGATTAAATAAATCACTTACCCTATACTGGCTTTTCCTTCCTGTCTAGAGGTACTGAGAGTAGCAAAATGGTGTTGGAAAGGTCCAGCTGCTGCCACCATGATTTCCAGGAGCCAAAATGAAATGCTCTCCTTGGGGCACCACCAAGTCCTCTTGCCAGGTGTTTGAGACCCCTAAGGCATGAGATGTTGAGACAAGGAGAATGTCAAGGTCATGACTGGAAGACTGGTCAACATGGGCTGGGAGATTGGCCCGTGTCTAGACCGTGATGTCCTTTTTTGTGTCAGCAAAGCAAAGCCTGAGAAACAGGCAAGATTAGAAAGGGAAGGATTTCCCTGGTGGCACAAGGGGTTAAGCATGGCACTATGAGGTTATCTGCAGCCACTGCAGCATGAGTTCAATCCCTGGCCAGGGAGCTACCCACATGGTGCAGCAGACCTCTCCTGCACACTTGCCTACTGCTCCCCTCAGCAGTGTATTTTAGTCAGTCCGTCTGTTCTGCTCCCCACTCTGTCTCTGGCCTGTACCCCCACACCTCTGGCCTGTACCCCAGTTCTTCTATGCATAAATAAATCTTTATTTAAAAAAAAGAAAAAATAGATTAGAAAGGGAGTAGACTATACTTGATAATGCAGAACCCTTGTCCGGTGAATGTGTGCCTGGACAAGGCTAAATACTAAGAAAATGATTCATTGTCTAATAACTAACATACAGGGGAGGGGGCTCTTTGTATTAATGAGTTGCACTGGGCACTCGGGACGCTTGAACATGGAATGAGAGGCCTTGCGCGCCCTGGGTCCCGCTTCTCTTAAACTCTATTTTGTGTCTGTCATTTCTTTATTCCTTGTTCTTCCAGATTCCTCTCTCAACCCTGTTCACCAGAGCTGGACTCTGCCAAGTGGCGCCTGAACAGGGACTGAGGGAGGATAAGATCTGACCACCTAGTGGGGGAAAATACATGGGGAAAAGAAAAGAAAAAGAAACTCAGCCTATTGAACAACCGAAGGTAAGACTTCCTGGGAGTAAAACAAGCTTCGGAATGCACAGGGTAACAATGGGACAACATAAAAGTAAAAAGTTTAAGTACGTCAAGCTTCTTAAAACTTTGCTGAAAGGTTCGGGTGTGAAAGTGCACACACATCATCCTTTCAAGATCTCTTTAACTTTGTAGAAGCTCATTGTTCTTGGTTCCCACAGCAGGGGACAGTAGATAGAAAACAATGGAAGGAAATGATTAAATGTTTGAGAGTTGCTCACCATCAAGGGGAGGCTATTCTGCTATCAGTTTGGTCTTTATGTAATTTGATCTCCCAGGCGGCAAAACCTTTTCAGGGAGTGGGGGATTCATCCTTGGAGTCTAGTGAAGATGAAAAAGTTTTCCTAAGTCCAAGGGAGCCGGTGCTTGTCCTCCTGAGCCACCACCACATTATGGGTTCAGCCGAGACCCAAAAGTGAGACCACTGTCTCCAGTAGATTTTGAGCCACTCATAGAAAAACGTTTCATGTAGAACAATTGGAGGGAGAAATACTTCAAGTTTTTCCAGTTAATTATTTGAGGAGAAGGTCAGGGTCCCCAACACTAGAGTTTTACCATTTGCTGTGTGTTTACAATACTGAGGCTGTGACTGGAATAATTAAATGTAAATGTATAGTTGCAGAGGGTGAAATTTAGATCCCCCCAGTCTTGAGAGGTAGGTCTAGTCAAAGTATTTTGAAAACAAACATGAGTGTAACCTCCTACTAGGTCCACTGAATCCATAGAAGGGGAAACAGCTTGGGGCCAGCTATCATTAAGTGGTGAAGGAACTAATTGTGTCCATTTATATTGGGAAGTACTAGTCCCATACATGGAAGCCAGTAAATGACTTAGTTCTTCAATAGAAGCTGATAGGGGGCCTCCCTGGTGGCACAAGGGGGTAAGCACAGCACTATGAAGCAATCCACAGCCTCTTCAGCATGAGTTTGATCCCCTGCTGGCCATGGAGCTACCCACATGGTGCAGCAGACCTCTCCTGTCTCGCCCACTGTTCCCCTCAGCAGTGTATTTCAGTCAATCTGCCTGTTCTGTTTCCTTCTCTGTCTGTTGACTCCTCTCACCCCCTGCATCTCTGACCTGTACCCCAGTTCTTCTATGCATAAATAAATAAATCTAAAAAAAAAAAATAGAAGCTGGTAGGGCCTGGAGGGGAATTCTTTGGACAACCAACAATCACTATAGTTCCCTCTCTTCTCCATAAGGTTTAAGGCTGGAGTTAGTGGGTGGCAATAAGACAGGGAAGGAGCCAGCAGAATAATCCATAAGGGAGTGAACATTGACATGCACAGCCTAATTGCCATGACAGGCAGAGAAGCCCCACCAAGAGAACTGAGGCAAGGCAAAATGAAAGAAAAGCTTTTTGGCAACTAGTCCATTCTGGGGGCATAACTGAGTATAATCCCAGGGTAAACAGGAAAACTACAAGATAGATTATGACTGTAAATCCAATACAGAAAGACAACGTGTGGAATTAAGGACTTTCTTTTGTAGCCAGTCATCTGAACAGGAAACAAAGATCTTCTAGCAGCTCATAGGTCCAAGTAGTGGTGGATGGAGCAGCTTTTTCAGTATCTGAAGGCTCTGAGAAGGTGGAATCCCAAGCTTTTACTCCAGTGTGATGTTTCCAGGTGTCCACTCCTGCCACCTTGACTGCCATAGAGGAGGAGAGAATAATAGGAGAAGGACCCTCCCATGTAGGACTAAGGGAAGGAGAATTAATGGGAATGGTTTTGATGAGAACCACACCTCCCAGTTCGAAGAGAGAGGTGGACAGCCCAGGGCTGTCAGGTATGTCTGGCAAATTTTTGCCAAGGCATTGAAACTTAGCTAAGTTAGTAAAAAATTTAGTCAATTCAATAGTTTCAGGATCAAACAATAAATCATTTTTGAGGAAATGTCAGCCATACAGTGACTCAAAAGGACTGAGACCAAGCATTTTCGGAGTGTGTCTGATCCTTAAGAGAGACGAGGGCAAAAGAGCAGTCCAAGGCTGCTGTGTCTCCTGTGAGAGTTTTCTTAAGTATCTCTTAAATATTTCATTATATTTTTCCACCTTATCAGAGAACTGGGGCCTCCAAGCACAGTTTCGTCTTAAGTGGCCTTTGTTGCCACAGAAATAACAGGTGGTTTGGCTTCGTCCTGTTCTGTCCCCTTCCGGGGCCCCTAAGTGTCCTTGTAGGGCCATTACAAGGGCCTTTGCCTTATATTTGGTTTTTTGTTCCCATTCCTTTTTTCTTTTCCTGATGTCTATTATAAAAGACCAAAGTGGCGACACTCAGGAGATTTTCCAGATTCCATTCAGGGCTAAAGGCCAATTTTTGTAGCTTTCTCCTGATATCTGGCGCCGATTGAGTAAAGAATTTATCTTTTAACACTTTGCCCTTCAGGCGAATCTGGTGTCATATTAGTGTGTTAGGCAATGCCTCCCTCAGCAGGTCCATGAAGGCAGATGGGCTTTCACTTTCTCCCTGCACTACCTCTGCCAGTTTTGAGTAGTTTATAGGCTTGGATCGTGACTTTCTTAGCCCTCCTATAACACAGACAATAAAATGTTTTCTTCTTCAAGAGTCCTCTGAGTTCCAACCAGGTTCAGAGAAAGGAACAGCTTGACTTCCAGTAGGCTAAATTCTAAGCCCCTCCTCCGTCTTTCCTGGGGCATTGACAGCTTACCAGTCATCCCTCTATTGTAGGACCTCCCTAAGTACTTTTTCTTTCTCTCCTGAAGAGAGAGTCTGGTTGAGAATAAGCATTACATCTTTCCACTCCAGATCAAATGACAAGCTTAGGCCCTGGGACATCTCTATATATTTATCTGGATCACCAGAGAACTTCCCAAGGTCTGTTTTAATTTGTCTTAAATCCTGTAGAGAGGGCCTCCCCGGTGGCGCAGCGGTTGAGCGCTGGGTTGCGAAGCTGCCCCGCAGCCTCTGCAGCGCCGGTTCGATCCCCGGCTGCTCCCCGGCCACCGGAGGAGGGTCCCGCATGGTGCGCAGGCCTCTTCTGCTGCCCGCTGCTCCCCTCAGCAGTGTACTTCGGTCCTTCTGCCTGCTCTGCTCCCCGCTCTGGCTCTGGTGAATTCTCTCACCCTCCTGCGCTTCTGACTGTACCCAGTGCTTGTATAAATAAATAAATAAATCTTAAAAAAAAAATTAAAAACAGATGCCAACATTTAAAAAAAAAAATCCTGTAGAGAAAAGGGAACATGCTTTCTAATAGGTCCCCTTGCTCCACCCACCACCACTTGCAGTGGCAATGGGGAGGGCTCTCTTTTAATCATATCTGGGAGATCATGGGATCATTTGAGCTGAGGAACTGACATCTCCTGCACTGTTGAAGGCGCGGTAAAGCAGGAGACAGGTCCTTATCCTTTGTTTTAAAATCCCTGAGTATAGAGGACAAGAAGGAATTGTTAACAGGGTGATGGCAGAGGATTCCCAGTACATATTAGGCCGTATTTACTACATAAACTTTTATTGTCCCTGAGGGCAGAAAAGACCTGTAGATAGGCCAGTTCAGACTGCTTCCCTTTCTTGTGACAGAACAATTCCAACTGATAGATGGTATTAGAATTTATACTTCCCTCGGGCGGCCAGGATTCCCTGTTCTCGAGATCATGTTGTGGCCAGACTTGAGTGCAAAAAAAGATAAGTCGTTTCTTTTTTAAGGATTTGGGGTCAAACTGACCCCACTTCTTCAGAATACAGGAGAGAGGCGTGCCCCTTTGCAAGGCTGACGAGGAAGCTCTCATCTGCAAAAAGGAATGAAGGCAGATGTCCAGCACCAGCTTCTTTCTCCCGGAGGCATCCTTCCATTTAACCTTGGAGCTCTAGCTGTGAGTGATAAACAGTCTCCTCACATAGAGTCTACTGGAATTAATCACTCCCTTACCAGTGTGACCCGATCATGGGCCTATCTGTCTCCCACCAAACAGAAGGCGAGGGGTGGCGGACTTTGTGGGACCCTACTGGCGACCCCTACCCAGTCTCTTTGCAAAGGGCACCCATTTTAAGCATCTAATGAGCTTATGATAAGCCACTCTCCTCACCTGATGAAAGAGTCCCTGAACACACCTAAGGAGTAGAGACTGAATGAACACAAGTCACGGACAGGGTCCTGGGACCTAATTTCTAACATTGCCCTTCCATCAGGCCATGAAAATGGCCCTCACCCCTAGGGTCCTTGAACATATAGTAGCCTAAGGCTTAATTTTTACTCTCCCTGAAGTCTCCTGTTTGAACAACTCCCATCAAATAAATACCCATCATCAGATTACTATACCAGAGATGTATCCGCCTAGCTGGACTCAGAGCTTGGGGTAAACCTGTACGAGTCAGGAAGTGCCACAACCCTGTCAAAATGTAAAACTCAACCTGTTCTGCCTGTGTCCACTGGTGAGGCTGAAGCAGACACTGAAGCAGAGGCTGAAGCAGGGGCAAAGTTTTAGGGGTGTCCCAAGATCTTTATAAGAACCTCCTGTACCTGCTAACTCATGAACTGACTTGACAAGAGCTGAAGAAAGTTTGCCCTACAGGGGGAGGGACCAAGAAGGTGAAAGTCTTCTTCTAGATTTTTAGGCCTCCGTGACTCACCCTTAGGTGCTGGCCTAGCAGAACGCCTCGTCTGTGCCTTCGGATCTCCTGGATGTCCAGGGTTCCAAGGGCTACAGCTCGGTTGTCCCGAGAACCTGTGGAGTCCACGGATGATAGAGAAAAGCAAGGAATCAGTGACAGGAGAATCCTGACATTACCACTCAGCAAGTGGGGGATCAGGAAGCCTTGCTAACTGACAAACCTGTCACCCTAGACTTTAAGAATGGCGGCCTCACGCTAGTAGCTTTTACCAGGATGATGGGTGCCCATTAATTGTTGCAGTCAAATAAAGGACAGAGGAAAAAAAAGTTATAAAATGTCTGAAGCCCTGTGGGTAACGGAGAAATAAATGAGCACTGGAAGTGAGAGCAGAATGGGAGGATTGGGAGAGAAAAAGAGAGCAAGAAAAGATAAAGGGAGCCATTTAAATAATCCTAATGGGGGGCCTCCCTGGTGGCGCAAGGGGTTAAGCACTGCATCCACAGCCTCTACAGCACGAGTTCGATTCCCCGGCCAGCCGGGGAGAAACCCACGAGGCAGACCTCTCCTGTCTCACCCACTGCTCCCCTCAGCAGTGTATTTCATCAGTCTGCCTGTTCTGTTCCCCACTCTGTCTCTGGTGGATCCTCTCACCCACCGCATCTCTGGCCTGTACCCCGGCTCTTATATGCATAAATAAACAAATCTTAAAAAAAAAAAAAATCCTAACGGGGATCTGAGGCCAGGTGGGGTTTTGTGTAGGATCCTCTGTAATGCTTAGTGAGGAATGACTTTCCCAGCTGTCACATTGGCACCATTCATCCTCTACTGGGTCTCGGCAACTCCCTGCTGCTGCCCCTTATGTGCGGCTCCCAGATGGCCTCTGGATGATGTATGTGCCTAGCTCTTTGGAGACCGTAGTCCCTCATACAAGGATGACCAGACTTTTATTTTTTCAACAGGCAGATGGGCTAGTTCCCCTATCTGGCCTGGCCACCACTTTATCCTTCCACAGGAGTCTTTTTTTTTTTTAAAAAAAGATTTATTTATTTATTTATGCATACAAAAGCTGGGGTACAGGCCAGAGATAAGGGGTCGGGGGTGAGAGGATTCACCAGAGACAGAGTGGGGAACAGAACAGGCAGACTGACTGAAATACACTGCTGAGGGGAGCAGCGGGCGAGAAGAGACAGGAGAGGTCTGCTGTGCCATGTGGGTTGCTCCCTGGCGGGCTGGGGACCGAACTTGTGCTGCAGAGGCTGCGGATTGCTTCATAGTGCTGTGCTTAACCCCTTGCGCCACCAGGGAGGCCCCTTCCACAGGAGTCTTTAAGGCGGTAGCCCTTTGGTATTTACTGACTGTCCTGTGCCCTTTTTGTGGCCTCTTTGATGGATCTGAGAAAATGTTCAGCAAGAGGAACATAGGACAAGAGGAGGGTACAGAAAATATGCGCTTCTCAGCTTACTTACCTGGAATCTTGTGAGAACATGGACAATGAGGCCCCAAAAGGATGCCGGTGTGCGCAGTTACTGTAATCACAGCTGCTGCTGCTGCTGTTCACCCTGGTAATCACCCCAAGTTCTTGTCTCCTGAAGCCATAAAAAGGAATTCACAGACTTTTCAGGTAAGTAAGCAGAGAGAAGCAAATCTTGTCTTGGAGAATATAGAAAAGTTTATTTAAGAAAAAGGACAAAGAGGACCTCCCTGGTGGCGCAGCGGTTGAGCGCTGGGTTGCGAAGCTGCCCGCAGCCTCTGCAGCGCCGGTTCGATCCCCGGCTGCTCCCCGGCCACCAGAGGAGGGTCCCACATGGCGCGCAGACCTCTCCTGCCGCCCGCTGCTCCCCTCAGCAGTGTACTTCGGTCCTTCTGCCTGCTCTGCTCCCCGCTCTGGCTCTGGTGAATTCTCTCACCCTCCCGCTCTTCTGACTGTACCCAGTGCTTGTATGTATGTATGTCTAAATCAATCAATCAATCAATCAATCAATCAATCAATCTTTAAAAAAAAAGAAAAAGAAAAAGGACAAAGAGCAAAGACTCCCAGGTATAAGATACTTGGGAGGGGCTAAGTAGAGCCGGTAAGGGGTCTTGCTTCAGGAATATATACTTTCTTTCCCTCATTATTTTAAAATTCCAGTGGTCTCTCTCTGATTGGTTAGTTCTCGGTGGTCTCACTTAATCTGCTACTGTGCTGGGATCTTCCTACATCACATTCCTTACCTTTCATTGTCCTCTATTCGATCCGGAATGTCCTGTTGACCTTAGTCCTGGGGTGTTTGCTCTCACCCATCAGAATCAATTGCCCTTTCCTTTATTCCTCTTCTTGCCTTTATTCCTCTTGCTGTCTTGAGCCTTCCTTAACTCTCTGGAGGTTCCCAGCTACAATGTCCCTAAAACTACCTGATTATCCTAACTTGCCCTGTGACTCAAACCCACTGCGGCAAGGCTGGTTGAGGGCTCAGCGGGCAGCTGTCTGGCCTTTTTCTCCAGTGTTGCGATCATTGGCATGTCTCTACTGCCTTCCTGCCGTGGAGGGACTGGACTCTCCTTTTGTCTACCTTGAAATACTATTCTGGTCTGATCAATAGGTTAAAAAAAATTCTAATTCCCTCAGTCTCCTACAAAATGCATATTGGTTGAGTAAAAACTTTTAAATTTGCTTATTGGGCCTGTAAAAGGTTGAGTTTCTTGTTAAGACTAATTAAACTGGTAAAAATAGAAAGTGAAAACACAACTTTTTTGAGCTAAATTCTGAACTTCAGATTTTGATAAAAGCCTAAAAACAGGCAAATTGTAAAAACCTACCTCTTCTCCTGTCCTCAGAAAACAGTGATCTTTTTTTGTCTTAAGAACGTGCTTGGGGCCTCCCCAGTGGCGCAGCGGTTGAGCGCTGGGTTGCAAAGCTGCCCGCAGCCTGTGCGGCGCCGGTTCGATCCCCGGCTGCTCCCTGGTCACCGGAGGAGGGTCCCACATGGCATGCGGACCTCTCCTGCCACCCGCTGCTCCCCTCAGCAGTGTACCTCGGTCCTTCTGCCTGCTCTGCTCCCTGGTCTGGCTCTGGTGAATTCTCTCACCCTCCCGTGCTTCTGACTGTACCCAGTGCTTGTATAAATAAATAAATAAAATAAATCTTTAAAAAAAAAAATTAATGTAAATTTTCTTTTTTAAAAAAGATTTATTTATTTATGCATACAAGAACTGGGGTACAGGCCAGAGGTGTGGGAGGTGAGGGGATTCGCCAGAGACAGAGCGGGGAAAAGAACAGGCAGACTGACTGAAATACACTGCTGAGGGGAGCAGTGGGAGAGACAGGATTGGTCTTCTGTGCCATTTGGGTCAGTTCCCTGGCTAGGGTTCAAATCTGTGCTACAGTGGCTGGCAATAGCTTGATAGTGCTGAGACTTAACCTCCTGCACCACCAGGGAGGCCCTAATTGTTCATTTTTGTACAGGGTTTGCTTTCTCCTCTCAGGTGTAGTCCCTGTGAAATTCCCACTACCAGTTCACCTGTGCAGCATCACTATAGTCTCTTGTGCTTTTCCCTCCCCCGTTTTGCTCTCTCCCCCACTCCTCTGCAGAATGTCTGTGATTTATAGTTGCCTGTTACTTTTGTTTTTTAATTTATTATTGTCTGCTTAACCTAAAAAATTAAAAACATGTTTCATTGTGTGACTTTGATTAAAATTCTTTCATAAAGTTAAATTTGAGCTTAACCAAGAAGAGGAAAACCTGCTGCTATTTGTAGGGTTCCAGAGACCTCCAAAGAAGGTGAGAAAGCTTGCCTCCACTGGCAGGACTGGACAATCTGGAAAAAAAAAAAAAATCCTGGTAACCTTGAAAAGAAAAAACCCCAAATGGGCTCTGAAAGAACCAACTTTGTTCCTGAAGCCTGTACAGACTGGATGTCAGGAGTTCCCTCTGATCCTATATGGAATATTCGAACAAAGCCAGCTAGAATTGCTGTTTGGTTATTCTGCCCTGTGATTTTATGCAAAAATAGGTGAAATGGTCTGAAAGTAAATTTAGTTTACAAATATTTTGCTGTACTGCTCGATAAAATTGGCATTAGAGTGAAGAAAACTTGTTTGTAGATGTTAAATCAGTTTTAAGAATTTTTTTTCTTTTGGTAACTTTTATATATTTACTGTTTTGGTTTTGGCTAATGCCTCTTGATGTTTTTTCTTTTGCCATAAACTGGCACACTAATTTCCAATAATGAAGGACTGTCATACTGCACATTCATTGACAATGTTGGTGACTGTTGCTTCTCTAGCATAACTAAAACCCTGAAAAACACTGTCTACTAAGGCTACACCCTGGGATCTACACTTAAAAAAAAATAGTTGGGGGGGGGAGTCTAGAGGATAACTTGCCCCCATAGGTACTTACATACAAAATTTTAGTTACTTTTAAATTCTTGAATTGCTATTGCTTTGACCTAATAACTGTTGAGCAACACCTCATTCCTAATTCTTCAGGCCTTATGGCAGTGGAGTAGTATTTTATCCCAGCAAAACCAAGCCCTAGGCCCTTGGTCGTATATCACCATCCATTACGAGGACCAAGTTGGCTGGGACCTTAAAACATTTAACATGGGGGAAAGGATATGTTTCTGTTTTATCACCTATAGAACCACTTTGAAGATTTATTTATTTTTGCATACAAGAGCTGGGGTGTAGGCCAGAGGTGCAGGGGTTGAGAGGATTCACCAGAGATAGAGTGGGGAACAGAACAGGCAGACTGACTGAAATACACTACTGAGGGGAAGCAGTGGATGAGACAGGAGAGGTCTGCTGTGCCACGTGGGTAACTACCTGGCCAGGGATCAAACTCATGCTGCAGGGGCTGCAAATAGCTTCGTAGTGCTGTGCTTAACCCCTTGTGCCACCAGGAAGGCCCCAAGGATTCAACTTTCTAAACCAAGTGACTTGAGTGGTAGCTGATTTTCAGTTTCCTCAAAAGTGTTAGTCCAGGTGCAACAAGTGACAACATCCTCCTTCTTTTGCTAAAAAATAATCAAGGGCTACACCCTACCCACTCCCTCGCCTTAGCAGAGGCCTGGGAAATATGGATGAGGGCATTATCTTGCCAGGCTATTGCCAGAGTAAAGGAAAGAAAAGAAGAAAGGGAGTCTTGATCTGGTGTCTTGATTGGAAGCTGTCCACATTGATATTGGCTACTTCTCTTCCTCATTAATTTGATAAGTCTTCAACTCTGTGCCCAAGGTTCACAAATCTCTGAAATCTGGGCTGCCATCTGGGTTGTGAAGATGACATGATGTAGTCTCTTCCAAGGAGGTTCAAGGGTAATCTTTGTTCTCAGTGATTCCAGATCAGGAGGATGGGGCAAATTGAAAGCATTAGTTTGGGGAGTTGTACTCAGATATTTGAGAAAACTAGAAGAATTAAGAATCCAGTTCAGTTTATAGGTAAATAATAAAACCTCAAATATAATGAACAGAGTTAGAATCTAATATCTAAAAAGGTATTAACAATTTTTCACTCTACACTTATTCCCATATTTCCCACCCCAAAATAATCAAAGTAAAACTGATTTGTATAAATTTGGCTTGATTATTTAGATAAGTGAAGCTCTTTTTAAGATTGCTTTACTGGAACTTTTCAAAGCCTTTTGAGGTCAGGAAACAAAGTAAAGGATTTATCACCAGATTTTAGCTGCAATACCTATACTTTGGGTGATTTTCTCTCTCAAATATGACATATCCAGCCTCCCTGGTGGCGCAAGGGGTTAAGACACAACCTATAAAGCTATCCACAGCCACTGCAGCACGAGTTCGATCCCTGGCTGGCCAGAGAGAAACAACCTGGCACAACAGACCTCTCCTGACTCACCTGCTGCTCCCCTCAACAGTGTATTTCAGTCAATCCTCCTGTTCTGTTCCCCACTCTGTCTTTGGTGAAAACCCCCCTCTCCCTGCTTCTGGCCTGTGCCCCAGTTCTTGTATGAATAAATAAATCTTTCAAAAAAATAAAGAAACAAAAAGAACAAATATGACATACCCATCAAAGCCTTAATAATATAAGCAATGTTTCCAATTGTGTCCTGTTATAAGGAGAACAGATTCTTATTAAACTTATGCAAATAACTAAATTTATAGGAACTCAAGAGCAACCAAATTCTGGAAGGATCAGGTAGAGAGAAAAAAACCAAACGTTTCTTTTTTGTTTACAAAGTTCTACTTAATAAATTGTTGTAGATCATGAAATATTCCTCTGTAATTCCTACATAATTAATTTTTTTTACTTAAATCCAGTTGTTAGAGCATACCCGAGGGACCCCAAACTATTAAGGGGTGCATACTCTAAAAGGATTCCAGCCATCGAATACACAATGACAAAGGAAGTAGACTCTTAGTATTAAAGATTCTTAATAGAATTAGTTTATTCTAATTTACATGGCTCAGCGGACCTCTCCTGTCTAATTTCTTAATTAGAATTAGAAAAGAAAGATATTTCTAATAAAACTCCAAAAATTATCCATTCCCTTGGGGGCAAATGCCCAGCCAAACAGGCTTAGCCTGAAGCAGCACCACAGAGGCCTAAAAGCCTGCCACAAGACTAA